GTGCCCTGATTATTTGGTCATATCTTAGCCTGGGTTCCTCTAAAAAGCAGAATTTGAGGCAAAGGTTTTTGTTCTTTCATCCTGTTAGGGGTACAGCCCAGTGAGCAGGAGTGAGGGGAAAGGAGAGTGAGGCTGGGAGAGCCAATATGAGGACGTCTGATCGTGTTGGATGCTATTATATCTGACCGATTGCTTGATCTTGCAGGACTGCTCCCCAGGAAACCCTTACCATCTGGTACATCTGGGAGAAAAAAGGGGAAAGACTGCGTCTGCAGTTCCCATCTCTCATGGGTCAAACATTTTCTCTACTGTACATCAGCTCATCACTTCCACTTGCATTTGGATGGGTGAGTGGTGGGCTGCTGAGACATCGCACCTCTGTAGCAAAAGGAAGTCCCCAAGGCCGGAGACAGGGTCAGGTCAGGTGGAGCCTGTGTGATGTCAGCAGGAGCTTATGCAAAACTGGCCTGTGCAGTGGCATCTGGAACAGGAGAATCTGAGAGGAAATGAAGAGACAGCTAAGAGGGCCCCGTCTAGGTCAGAATCAGGTAGAGGCACTCTGCAGGTAGTCAGATTCACCAGCACGTCTCCATGTGTTCCTGCTGAGGGGAACTCAGTTGAATTTTGAAGGGTCTTTCTGGTATCCAGCCCAAGCATAAGCTCCCTTCTATCCCCAGAGAGGGTCTGGGATGTGTACCATGGAAAAGTAACACTGTAAAGTAGATAGTAAGCTTTGGTGATAGTTAGCAAATAGCTATACCAGGAATTGTGGTCGTGGGCTGCATGTCCCTTAGGAGCCTCCCAGTGTCCCACAGAGGCAAGGACTGTTCCTGACTTTTAAGGACACTCTTCAGGAGAAAGATGGAAAGCCGTGCTAGATGTCATTACAAGTCCCAGTGACGGAGACAAACAGCCGTGACACATTTATGTAGGCTCACTCACTCTTTCTCAGGGTGATGATGAAGCTTCATTTGGAAGATTTGCTCATCTGTCTAATAAATCAGAGAGGAAAGTTTCCCTGATATTTACTCGGACTTCCTTTCCCGTCTTCATTTCACTTCACTCCTCCAATGGCTCACCCTCGTACCAGGCTACATAAATCTCTTCTCTTTCTTCTGCCCCTTTGTCAACCATTAGCCTGTTCCCCCTCTGTCATTGTTTCACCAGACCATAGATGTAACTCTTCTAATCTTCCCTGATAAATCAGGCTCTCAGAATCACTCCTTGTTGTTCCCTCAAGCTCTCTGGAGCTGGGATCTAGGGCTCTGAGCGGCTGGCGCAGACGTTTCTTTTATAATGGGCCCTGAAAGGTTGTCAGCTGCAGATAATTAGGATCTCACTTCCCGCCACCAAGCTGCATATATCTTCCATGCAAAGGACCCCCATCACCTTCAAAAGAATTAACACATGCAGAGGAGATATATGAGGGGGCCGGGTGACCACCAGAGGATGGGGCCAGCTCTCCTGAAGGCCAAAACTGCTTCATGTTTCCGGTGAGAGGGGGGCGCTTTCTCTCAGGAGGAGAACCTGACCCTTCTCACACTATTTCATGGTAAAAATCTCATGCCTGGGGTCTGGATTGTGCAACACAAAGTAGTGAGAATATCTTTTCAATTAAAGTACTTTATAATAGTGCTCAGCCTTCATGCCCTTCCCTTCTCTCTCTCTCCCTCTTTCTCTCTCTCTCTCATTCATTCCCCCTGTTGAGCTAGAATTTAATCTTGCTGTGAAAACCCCAGCATATTTAACCTATGGCTTTTGTATTCTGCCTTGTGATAACTGGCCCACATGACTGTTAGTCACGTTGTTCAGTTTTTCTTTAATAGTTTCTGAGGACTATCAGGGATACGGCTTCAGGAGGGTTGGGCAGGCTGTCAAGTGGACCTGATATCAGAATGCAGCGTTGGCCCCACATGTGGCCTGGTATAGAGAAAACTGCTTTCAGGTGGGTGCTTTGTGAGGCCTCAGGGCCTGCCACAGTTGGGGGTTTGGCTAATATTCAGAGGGCAGGGAAAAATCAAGTGGGGTGGGTCTGAACCTCTCTGCCCACACTTCTGTCAGAGCAGATTTATTTTTATCCTTGTTATGTATTCATATTCCATGTAAGGTTTTATATATTTTTTAAACTTTATTTATTTTTAGTGAGAGAAGAAGGAAGGAGAAAGAGAGAGAGAGAAACGCCATTGTGTGGTTGCCTCTCCTGCACCCCAACTGGGGACTTGGCCTACAACCCAGGCATGTGCCCTGACCAGGAATCAAACCAGTGACCTTTTGGTTGGTAGGCTGACACTCAATCCACTGAGCCAGGGCAGGTTTTACATTTTAAAAGAGGGAAAATAAGTTTGAAACCTGCTGATTTTATCATCTTGTACATGAAGAAAGAGACCTAGAGATGTTAAGGTCACATGGCTTGTTAATATTAAACCAAAATTAGAATGCAGGACCCCCAATTTCTGTTCTTTCATCTTTCTCTATCACTTGGCTGTATTATCATCTTCATAATGTTCTTGAATATTATACTAGGATCTTAAAGAAACAGACAGTCCTAATATTCCCAGGGACTAGTGTTGATGAGTAAGTCCTGTTTGTGGGCTGAGGTGCTCCCACTTTGCACACCTGGAGTGATTTTTCTGGTGATGGGGACAGGTAGACACCGAGTCACCCTCATAATCACATCATCTGAGATGATTGGTGCGTCCCAGGGTGTGATTTTTGACCATAAACCTCAGCAAAGGCAACTGATGTCTTGAGGGAGAAAGCAAGTGTACCTGGGCCTCATCAGGGTCACTGCTGGGGCTGACCATGGATGGCATTTCAGAGCTAGACTGGGTCAGCCACTCCTTTCTAAGCTGAGGACAGTGAGGCTCAGAAAGGTTGTGTGATTTTCCCACATGGAGCAGAAGGGAGTTGAGAACTGGTGGGCAGCAGCCACTGATTCTTGTTTCTTGGCTGGATAAAGCTCTGCTGGTCTGTTTTCCTCCTTCCTTTTTCTTTGGGACCAGTAATGTGGGTGAAGGTGTTTGCTCTGAAGACCAAACTTGCCTTGGGCCTGCTGTTCAGGGTCTAGAAGAGAGAGATAAAGGGGCATGAAGAAGGTTATCATTTCTGATTGCTTCTCACCCCAGTTTACAACCTTGCCCTGGGTCGTATCCTCAACAAAGATGATGGTTTAGCCTCAATACATTAACTCATTGTTCTTATTTCTTTCGATTCAGAACTTGCATGAAGAAGAGGGGTGTTGTTTATTAGGTACCCTCATAACCCAAATCTCAATGTCCTACTTCTAGAATTTGTATTACCAGCTGTCTGCTGGCTGCCACCTCCATGAATCTAAACTAACTCCCCTGTGGAGAGCAGAGTCAGCTGGAATCATTCTTAATAAGAAGCCCAGTGGTTGGCATCATTTGTTGAACTGGGTGAAGACCAAAGCCATTGTGGGTTTAGACTGAGATTCCTTTTCTAAGCAGGGTTTTAAAAAACATTTCTTAAGAGTAAAACTTGAAACAAATGGGAGGCCTTGTTCCCACCAGGACTTAAAATACCAACATATGTATCAAAGAATCTATCCAATTTGATAAGTCAGTTTAAAGTGACCAGGAAATGACAACAAGAAGCCAGGCATGGAAGCCAGCATTTGGTGTTTGGAGAACATTAAATACCATCTGCACATGGGTCGGTCTCCAAAATCCTCAAGTTCTGAAACATTCCTCCTCCCTTCTGCTTTTTCTTTCTTGTCAGACATTCATTTATTTTTAGAGAGTCAGAGGGCTTTTTCTGATTAGGTCAAGGTGTCCCATTAAAAAGCAAAAAAAGGAGTTCACCTAAGAAGGAGTCATTTTAGCCAAAGATAGGAAAGACAAGGGAAGGAAAGCTCTCAGGGGCGGGAGAAGAGAGAGCTGCTAATTAGGCCAAAGGTATCTCCGAGAAAGTCACGCTGCAGTGGAAAGAAAGTCACTTCTTATTGAAAGAGGCAATGCTTTTTAATAAGTTTTCTCTTCTGGAAGGATACTAATAACACCTACCTCACTGAGTTGATGTCAGGGTAACATGAGGTAATCACGGTTAACACTTCAAGAACTGGAAAATGCTGTAAAAGTAAAGCATAGGATTAAGAGAGGTAGTTCAAAACTCTGAACACACCACAGCTTCCTCAAAGAGTGGATAGTAGATGTTGGCATGTAGGAGATTCCGTGAACTGATTTGCCAGAGATTTCTTGGCCTGCCTTCATTTTTATAACTCCATGGAAAATACAAAGCACATGTACAGCTCCCTCTGAGGATTTTTTTTTTGTCTATAGACTAGCTTGGTGTTGATTATAATTGAATTAAAATATGACTACCATTTAACAAAAATAGGGTATCTCCCAGAAACCCAATGCTTATTTGCTTCACACACTTTTATTGAGCACCTAGTGTGCATTGATCTCTAGACAGGAGTTGGGAAGACACAGCCCTTAAAGGAGGGCAAGAGTCCCCATGAACTTCATTTCCTAGTAGGACAACAAGGAGGCGGGCACAGTCTCAAACCAGGACATGACTTGCCTCCTCCACAAGCCCTTGTGGTCCCCTTTAAGTAGCACAATCTGTATGGCTTCATTCTGACATCTAAGGCAGGTAAGATTTTTCACTTTTTCCCCTGAAATCACATTTGTTCTTTATGCCTTTTTTTTTCAATCAAAGAAAATTGTTTACTTTCCAGTGCCATTTTAACTTGTTACTAGAGAGCATCTGGCCTGGGTGTTTTCCATGAGCATGAAAGTCCAGGAGGCTGCAGAAGGCAGTACCTACAACTGCGCAGTCAGGGCCCCTTCAATCCCCTGCCAGACAATGTGTCTTGCATTTCTCCAGTGTAAATAAAATGATGATTCAAAGAATGTTCCCCATTAATGAGTATCTGATTTAGAATAAAATAAAATCCATGCTGGGAAGTTGATGAGCTTGATTCTGCTGAATCGCTTCTAGCCTGCAACTCATATTTATCGGTCCTCTTCCTTTGACAGTTGTCCCCAGTCGTCTGCTGTTCTGGCTGCTGAGTGGAAAGGGAGAGGGCTCGCAGGTTGATTGTAGTTCCCAGTAACTGGAGGTGACATTTGAAAGCTCAAAGCTATTGAAAAGGTAGGTGATTATTAAAATGTAATGTGTTTCTGCTTTCCTGAGTATGACCTCCGGGTCTGGCAATTTGCTGCCAAGCACATGCCGAAGCTGGAACACAGGTGGTGATGCGTCTTCCCAGCGTTGGGAGAGTTTTAGACCATATTAACCACATACGTGTTCATCTTTCCTAATTGTTTCCAACAGTACATAAGCTGAAAAATTAAGATACAGAGAGAGGGGCAGGGAAGATTATGGTACCTATAATGAAGAAGGAAGAAGGAATGGGGGAGAGAAAGACAGAGAAAGGCAAGGAGGGAGGAAATAACATGTAACTAATCAGAAATAACACTTAAAAAACAATTGCTGTGGAAGGGTATTTTCCAGAAAAGCAGGAGGAGTCCACTCTGACCACACTCCCCACTTGCATTAACCACGCATTAAAATTAGTGACAATTTGCTTTTGCACATCCTCCGTCGGTTCCTCATGTGGCTGTGGCTTCAACTTGCCACGCTCCAGTATGTTGTTCAGATGAGGATGACTGGATGTATTATGGAGAGCAGGAATCACGGGCAAGCGAGAACACAGTTTTACTGGAGATAAAAGATGGGTGCCCTGCATAGGGGACTGGGACCCATGATCATTGGGCCTGAGAGCGTGGTGCCTTCTGAAAGACCTGCTGGAAGCAGCCACTTAATTTTCCTGATGAGGCTCTTGGAAATGGGCAAGCTGGGGCAATTAAAGGAGCAGGAGTTCTGTAGCTTGTTTTCTGTGTTAAGTTTCTCTGCCTGTGGAAGCCTCTGTTTTCCCATCTATAAAGTGGGTCTAATACCTATATCAGAGGAATAAATAAATAAGATATTGTTCCTAAGCACTTATAATTATTCCTGGCACAGTGTGCATGACAGGTGTCAAAAACTGGTATTATTAGTTATGAGGTTCTGGCCAAGGGATATTTTAAAAACGGTCCTTTGGTATTTTGTCAACAGAGTTCAAAAATTTAAATTTAGGCTGACTCCAAGAGAGAATGTTTTCTGCTGCATGTAGGCTCTCTCTGGAAGAATATGGCAAAAGAATTCATATCTCAAGCCTCTTGCCTTTATGACTGTTCTCTGTTCTTATTTTTGTGGGCCATTCAGTTGATGATTGATTCATGTTAATAATTTCAGACCCATCAACCCTTCCTACCCTCTGCAAAGAATAAAACCTTAAAAGCTACCAAGTCATTATCCCTTCTGAACTGAGTGAGGTATTCATGTAGCTGGGCTCTGTGCTAAAATGCGGATAGGCTGGGGCTGACTGACTGCTGCCTTAGAGAACCTGCATGGCTCCCTCCAGTCTCAGATCAGGTGTCCATCTCATGCACTAGGACACTGTCAGGTGCCTAAACAGGTTTTTCTGCAGATCTGGGTGGGGAGCATGGGGTCCTTGTGGGTCTCATGTGCAGCTCCCTGGACCACTCAGCCCTCCCCTGCTCTACCCCAGGCCGGTCAAATCCCAGGAAAAGTGCATCACACTGGCTCCAGGAGGGAACCCTTGCACAACAAGAGCCATCACCTCCGTGAAATTGGATCCATCTCTGCCCCTGTGGGGGCCAAGTGGCAGTTGAAGGTGCTTATAAATGACATAAATCGCTTGCAGAACCTCCAGAAACTATTACCTCAAGTTGAAAATAGCTGCTAAAATTTCACCTCCTTGGATGTTTACATCCCTTTACTTCAGCTTTTAGTTTGGAGTAGGGAGGATTGAAATGGTTTTGAGGGCCAAATTGCAAGGAAGGGCCAGTTAGCTGTGGCATCTGTTTCACATTCCGTGCAATTTGAATACTCACAGCTTTGCTTAAAATAAAGATATACGAACCCCCTCAAAAAAATAGAAAAGGGAAGAAAACCAGAAATTAATTGATCCTTTTGAGACATCAACCTGGCAGTGTAGAGTGGGTCAGTGGGTTTCAATATAGAGAAGGGAGTAGGTAGATAGATGAAAGCCTCACAAGAATCTTCTAGAAAGAAACCAAGCTAGCAACAAAGACTACTTTCCCTGTTTCTTTAGCTCCATCACAGCCCTGTGGCTCCTTCACTTCAGGTGTGATGAGGCATCAATCATGCAGCCACTATGGAGCACAGGAAGAGCTCAGGAAAATGCTGAGGGCTGGAGACTGTTTCAAAGAACTATGCTAGGAGCCATTGCCTTCTTACTTTGAAAGAGTAATTTAATTCTTTTAAATTATAAAAGCAATATAAGTTCACGGAACAAAACTTGGAAAATACAAGAAATATTTGAAAACATTAAAATCCTCTCTAGCTCCACTCTGTGACATTTGGATGCATTTCTTTCCAGTGGGAAAACCTCATAGACAATCATGGTCAGGAGGGAGTAGGAAGTGGGTCAAAATTTTTGGAGGACTAGATAAGGACTTATGATCCCAAGGCTTTGCTTTCTGGTCAACCAGCTGGGACTTCTCAAGGCTGGAGCCTCTGGGGGCTCTCTGTTCCACCCATTTCTTCATCCAGAGGAGGATGCTCAGACCGCATTCTTGCCAGAGTGCTGCGTCTTAAGTTCCCCAGGTCCCTGTAAGCAGCTGCAATTGCCTCAGTGGCAGGAGAAAGCAAACCCAATATCTAATCTGTTTTTGTTTCTTTGTTTTTCTTTCTTGGAACCCTGCAGGATATTCTTTCTATATTCTTAATTCTCAGTTTGGCATAGCTGAAAGCCCTTTTCTTACAATGGGAGGAATGTTTTGTTAGAAATAACACAAAACTGGGAAGCAGGGTCCTTGGGTTCTTCCCACCCTGTGCCTTGCTGTGTGATCTTGGGCAACTTGCTTTATCTCTCTGGGGGCGGGGGGAGGGGGGCGCGGGGATGGCAAGAAACTAGGTCAGTGGCTCAAATATGTGGATAAGAGGACTCAAGCACGTCACAGTCACCTGGGGAGCTTTTTCATGTTAATAAGACAACAAGATCTAAATGTTCACCCAAGCCAAGGCCTTAGTGACTCACTGGGAATGTGGAGGGAGTGGAGAGGGGAGGCAGCAGCAGGTGGGGACATGGCCTCAGGGACTGGGAGACCACACACTTCAGGGGAGGACATTCTTACTCCCTCCTGTTTCCACTGAAAAACCACATCACCTGCACAGTCCTCAGCACCAGCCATCTGAGAGATTACTCCAGGGTGAAAAATGCTGCTGTGGATGGAGGAGGCGGGGAAGAAGCCAGCTCAGATCCACTTTGTGTTTCTGTGCTATGTCTTGCCTAGAGACACCGACCATAAGGGAAGGAAAGAGTCTTTTTCTCTCTCCACTGCCTCAAGACAAACTATTTCTTGACTCTGGCTTTTGAGCTTTCTGAAAGAGAACAGAAAGGATGTCTCTGGAGTTATCTTAGTATTATGTTTATTTTCCTGTGCTCTTTTAAATTATCCATCTCCTTTCCCTATTCAACAGGGCTGTCAGGAGCTAAGTTTTAGGGACCCTCCAAACTAAGCCAGATAAAACCTATATGGTGTTAGTGGATAGCACTGGGGATGCAAAAAAGCCAAGCACCATGTGTACCTTTGCCAACATTGTTTTGGGGCCCAATTATACAAGTCTAGGCCAGCATGACTTTAGCAGTTAGTTTTCCACTTAAAGATATAAAATGCCATCTACACTTATATGACAACTGTGCTATTTCCACTAAAATAAGTCTGTGTTGAATAACTTTATCATTTAGGAGGTTGGGGATGAAAAAAGGAAGAAACTTTTAGAACCTATCACAATTTACTGGATTAGATGCAGGAAAGGATGACTGGAGATATAGTATTATAGAATTCTTTGTTCATAATCGTTTATACCTTTTCCTCTCTGAGCAAGAAGAGTTCTTGTTCTTTGGCCTCGGCAATAAGGCATTGGGTACCTAGTGGCAGCCTAGTGATATTTATATCCTGAAGTCTTATATTTAAATAAGAGATCTTTGAGGTAGTTGCCCAGTTACATGACATGTTGTTGAAACACTCCAAACCAGCAATTGGCAGTAACAGTGGTACAGTTACTGCTGTACCACTGAGTGGTACCTCTGAGTGACTTCGGGCTCACCCTGAGCCAATGTGCTAAGGCAACACAGATGCCTTAGTGAATGAATGAATGAATGATGTTTCGACTTTGGATTCAACAGACAACAGACATGAAAAACATTGTTAGCAAATTCTTCATCATGATATAGCATCAATAGTTCAAAAAAGGGAAGGAGGTGTGTCTTAATCTATTCAAACTTCTATAACAAAATCCCATAGCCTGGGTGGATTAAACAACAGAAATTTATTTCTCATTTGGAAGTTGGGAAGTCCAAGATCAAGGTGCTGGCAAATTCAGTGTCTGGTGAGTGCCTGCTTCCTGGCTTGTAGATAGCAGCCTTCTCACTGTGTGCTCACATGGCCTTTCCTCCGTGTGTGCTTTTGGGAAGATACTCCCTCTGTCTCTGTCTCTATCTCTGTCTCTGTCTCTGTCTCTGTCTCTCTTTCTGTTTTCATAGGGACACTAATCCTATTATGAGCATCTCAGCCTCAGGACATAATCTAAACCTAATTGCCTCTCAAAGGCCACACCTCTAAATACCATTAAATTGGGCTAGGACTTCATAATGAATTTTGAGTGGACACAACATTCAGCCCAGAACAGGGTATAATGAATCAAAGGAATGTCAGTAGAACACTGGGGCTCAACTCCCATGTCTATGAGCAGATGATCTATTTTTCTTGAGACTTTATGTTTATCTATAAGTAATAATACCTTAAGGATTGTCCTGAACAGTGCATTTGATTTCAAGACTGGACAGCAGATGCTCAATAAAGGTGACTACTATTACTTCTGTTGCTATGACTGATTCCAGTGTTTCTGTCATTTCTCATTCCCAAAGGAAGATAAGTACTAATCGTGATAGACTTACTTCAAGGAACCTTAAGAGTTTCAAGGCTTTCCTAGAGTGATAGTTTCCAATCTATGTTCTTATTTACAAAATACACCTACTCCACAAACTGCTAAAAACC